CTCACAGTCCCGCTGTGGATTTTGTTCCTTGGTCGTTTAGAGAACTTCCGAGCAACCGAGTTCTAAGTGAAAGATGTTGGCCAGTTCCAGAAGATTCGAATCCAGCAGTTGTGCTGCGGATTGAGCCTTTATTAATATTGGTCAACTGACTCAACTCCACTCACGAAAACCACGCTTTTAAATTCAGTGGTTGCCTACGACGCAAGATTTGAGGATCAACATCTCGCAGTCCCGCTGTGTGTTTTGTGTCTTCTTGATTTATTCGAAGCATCACAAACACAAGACAAAATAAAAAAAATGTCTGAGAGCGCAATGGTGCAAGCCATCCTTGAATCTTATTTACCCCAATACAACTTCAATGCACAGCAACTGCAAACTCTTGACAATATGCTTCGCTCGATGGATATGGGAATCCTTCCCAAAGACTTGTCTCGTCCCAAATCAATATTGAAGCGAGCGAGTGAGCATCAACTAATACGATTGCAAAAAAGATATTGAGATGGAAAGCAATTAAGGAAGTTCGCCTAATTTCATCCTGTCTTGAACCAGAATTACATGACTGCTATTATTATTTGGACGTCAAACATCCCAACCTCCATTTAATAGCAGATATAATGGATCCTGATAGAATGACGAAGCTGAGACGAATAAATATAAACAAGCGCCAAAGAAAGTTGCTTGGAGTAAAACGCCATAGACAGCGGCCAGCGATGACCCAAAACTCATCAATTAAAAGAAAAATCGAGTCTGAAGATTTACCGGACGTGCAGGCAAAAAGGCAGGCAATTGAGTATCAGACTAGTTGTGCACGAACACATCCACTAGTGAGAACAACTTTACACTGCAACACCTGCACTAGTAAATGCAACTATAGGTACCTCACTTCACTCCACACTGCAACACCTGCACTAGTATGAGCAACTTCCTCACTTCACACCGCAACACCTGCACTAGTATGAGCAACTCCCTCACTCAAAGAGGCAGGCAATTGAGTATCAGACTAGCTGTGCACGAACACGTCCATTTGTAAGAACAACTTCGCTTCACACCGCAACACCTGCACTAATAAATGCAACTCGCTCACTTCACACCGCAACACCTGCACTAATAAATGCAACTCGCTCACTTCACACCGCAACACCTGCACTTGTAAATGCAACTCCCTCACTTCACACCGCCGCAAAATGATGCAGTGAAGACATAATTCACTAAACAGCACAAATATACCAAAGTATATATACCCAACAACGAAGTTGCGAGATGAATGAATTGCATGGCTACGGCGATGAAAGCCGCAACCTGGCTGTCCCATGTACAACTTCTGTGTAAATAGAATTTATTTCTCATGACGTCAAAACACAGAAAGCTGATATTAAGGAAATCCTTTCCAAATATCTAGCGAAATTTGATTTTATTTTATTTGACGATTTGTAATTAATTGACAGAGTAAACATTTCTTACATTTACCTAACTTTTTTTGCAATTTATTTATAGACAGCACAGCAAACGGAGTTGGTTCTCTCGATTATTTCATTATTTTGTACATTCGTTGTTTCTATCTTCATTATTGCTCACTAGTCTTTTGATGATATTAAAATTCGCGATATTTCCAATAATATAAGCGGGAATCACAATATACAATGATTCAAAGACCCACTTAACACGTTGACTACGTATTGGTACATATGCGTACCACGAAATGTATTTCTCCAGGAGGTAGTGGTACATAATTCAGGTTGCCTAAAAGTAGCCAAATCCGAGAATAAAAAAGGCCAAAAAGGCCGATAATTCAATATATACTAATTTATTTGTAGGTTTCGCTATAAAAATTTCATTTATTTTCTTTTTGCAGTATTTAGAATTTAATTAGGAAGTACCCCTATCATAAATTTTAGCCGGCCAACGCAATTGAGAAAAACTAAATCACGGAATTTGTCCGGAAAAAATGACCGTCTGGCAACCCTGCTTGAAAAAAGTACAAAAAATTAAATAATTGTACAAGATGAAGCAATCGTAGTCAACGCGTTAATTAAAAGAAAAGCTGAGACAAAGGCGGGAACTGCGATATGTGGGAACAGACTGTCGTGGAGCTCAAATTAAATATCTATTTAGGACTCGTAATTATAGGATGAACTCGTTGCAGCGAGCATGGTCATTCAGAAACATAGGCCTTGAAAATTAACGCTTAGAAATCTGAACGGGTTCTTACATTCTTCGTTGCTAGTCGCTGAGGTGGAATAGGGAATCTTTAAATAATCATATGATAGTGGTTGAAAGTTTGACAACACGCCCTACCACCGACTGTATCGGACTTTCAGTGACCACAATGATGACTCTGTGACGCCATCCAAATCATCGAGGCGGGAAGGAGGGAGCCGAAAACATTGAAACCTTAGTGGAAAAAGCTAATTATTCCAAAAAAGTGTATTATTAGGGGACTTCAAGTTAATTCATGCATCATAGAAATGCTCATGTTGGTTTTTCATGGATTATAAAATATTTATCCAGTTTCCTTAAGCTGGTCCCCGAAATGGGCTAATGTCTGCCAGAACAGCAGTAACAGGGTATCAACAATTTCTCAAAGTAAATGAGTAACAATTAAAGGTACCCATTCCAGGCAGAACGTACTCATTGAGAGATAAAATCGGTCCCATCTTTCAAAATTGTTCAAGTATATCCTACTTAGCCGAGTCTTGCCTCTACGTACTAATTCTAATAAATAACTGATTAAAGTGAATATGATTGCAGGAATTATATATTAAATGATTAGTCATAGTAGAATATACCGCTACACGGGTCAGGATTGATAAACTATTCCGATATTCTATTAAACCAAAGCTTATGTAGCGCATGTTTAAATTGTACGCGAATAAGTACGTCGTTAAAAGGTATGCTAGAAGTAAAGACACCCAAGTGTTGGAGCTGTTGAATTCCTGGTTCTCAAATGCACTTCTATTGTATATTTCGTACGCCTGATGCATGCGCGTCACTGACATTTTGCTTTAGTTCGGTTTTAAAGGCATCTAGAGTTTCAGTTGCGGTGTTGGCTCTAGACTGTAAGGGTACGTACACAGTGAAAGCCGGTTGCCAGCGTGCTGGTTACCTGCTGAGGCTGGCGCCTGAAACAAGCGCGAGAGGTTCACAGAGGAAGCAGGTTGCCTGCGTGCTGGTTACCTGCTGAGGCTGGCGCCTGAAACAAGCGCGAGAGGTTGTTCACAGTGGAAGCAGGAAACATGCTTGTGCATTCCCTATAACGATTGATAAAATCTCTCAATAATACGAATCATACAGTCAAAACTCATTATAAATGAATAAATCGTATGATAAATTCATCATATAACCCGTCAAACTCTCTGAACCGCTGAAAAGCTGTTAAAAAAATTTTAAGAAGAAATTTGATCATGAGAAAAGCTGAGAATTTATCGAAGTCTTTACTGTCTGTTGAACCTGCACCATAAACATGTCCACATCACCTGCACCATAAACATGNATTTATTAGTGCGTGGTTGCAGATGTATTTATTAGTGCGTGGTTGCAGATGTATTTATTAGTGCGTGGTTGCAGATGTATTTATTAGTGCGTGGTTGCAGATGTATTTATTAGTGCGTGGTTGCAGATGTATTTATTAGTGCGTGGTTGCAGATGTATTTATTAGTGCGTGGTTGCAGATGTATTTATTAGTGCGTGGTTGCAGATGTATTTATTAGTGCGTGGTTGCAGATGTATTTATTAGTGCGTGGTTGCAGATGTATTTATTACAGTTGTCATGATGGTAGCTAAGTCAACCACAACTTTTGTTATTGGTAATGACTCCGTAACCAACTTGACGAGTCTCGGATCATTCAAGCAGGAGTTTCTGTACAAATTAGATATGAAGTTAATAACCACAATTAAATTATTTTTGATCATTAAGTTCATAAAAATTATTGAGCTTCCATTCGGTTAAATCATCAGAATATAATGAGATCGTATCATAAATATTACCTTAGATCAACTTTTGTTATACACAAATGAAACAAAATATACTATATTTTAACAAAATTAACTCAACGAATGTGACGTATCGACATGGATGAGATTCAACTCACTAAGTAGTTCAGATGAGACAGATAACAGTTTTTTATCAGATTAAGCAATAGAAAAAGAAGTAGTAGTAAATAAGATTGAGCAGTAATAAAAAAAGGAGCAGTAAATAAATCAGTAGTAAAAGAAGCAGTGGTAAAAGAAGCAATAATAAAAAAAGTAGTAAATAAATAAGTAGTAAATAAATAAATAGTAAAAGAAGAAGTAGTAAAAAAAGTAGTAGAATAAGCAGTAGTAAAAGGAGCAGTAGTAAAAGAAGCAGTAGTAAAAGAAGCAGTAGTAAAAGAAGCAGTAGTAAAAGAAGCAGTAGTAAAAGAAGCAGTAGTAAAAG